AGGGGACAGACAGTTCTAGTTGTCAGCCACAACTCACTGCTGGCGGATAAATGTATCCTTGAAAAAGGATCTGAGTGGAACCCTGAAGACATCTCCAACAGAACTGCTTCCAACCTTAACAGCTATACCTTCCCTACTCTTCCCTGTGCTGTAATACTGCCCTGCCCTCCAGCAGTCATCAACCAGTACCTGGCAGAGTTGGTGTATAAAAACCCTAGTTTCCTCCTGCTCTGGTGATAGAACCCTAAGGTGTATATACACTGGTGGGATTAAGCTCACCCTTAGGAATGGCTGGCTACCTGATGAACCAAAAATTTGTTCTCCTTTCTCCCCTGTCTCATTTCCATTTTTTTCACCAAACTTCCTGGTGTCAATTACCAAGTGAACTACTTACACTCAAATTCAAGTCTCAAAATTGACTTCTAAGTCACACACAGAGAGCCAGCCACATCCCCAGACTTCACTCTTGAGTTAGCCTCAATTGTGATAACTGGGTTTGATTCAGATTCAAAATTTTCCCTCCCTTACATGAATTTCCTCTTATGAGTTCCTTTTGTTTCCTGCAAAATGACCTCAAGTAGGGCCATTCCAAGTTTTCCCAGAGGTTTTCACCTTTTTTGAAACTCACTGTGTGTTTGGACAAGTTCCCACTTTCCTTTCACCCAGGAGGCTCCTTCGTCCCTAAATAAATGTGCAGATAGAGGTGTAGGAGTCCTGACTAGGAACAGTCTGCAATTCCCAGGTCTGACCACACCTGCCCAGTAGCAGAAGGATGAGACCATGTACCAGCCAACAACTTCCCAGCCTCTGAAGTCCTTGTCAGGCCACAGATGCATAATGCCAATGCTCTACATAGAGGTGTAAGAAGCCATCCCAAGCCCTACAAGCAGGCTTGTGAATGTTGTTATAAGTCTTATTCATCCTGTATAATGTTAAATATTTATGGAGAGCCTCTGCTTTACTCATTAACATAACTAGGTAGTCTGTCCTTGGAAAATCTCAAACCTTTGCTTACAGAGGCACAAACTCTTTAATAATTAAAGATGCAACTTGTAACTCAACCTAACCTCCCAGACACTTGCAAGAATATGCTTGTAGCTTTTAGAGCTTTGTGTGAATCCGGGGGAGGCACATACTTAGGAAAATTGTTCCCTATAGTGTTCATTTGAAAGTTTTTAAAAATGGCCAGGCTGTGTGCTTCCAACAAATTGGTATGAAAATGCTATATGTGACTATTTTAACTTCTGTTGGTCTTGTACTAAATGGACTCTTTTTTCAATGATACTTGTAAAAATATTACTTAGCGGAGATATTACTCTGCATATAATACTCTGCATATAATATTACTCTGCATATAATCTGTTTTGCACCATTTCTAGTGTGTGACATCAAGTAATCCTAATTTCCTTTTCTGAGTTATAAATGGAAATAAGTGTAAAAAAGGAAAGTGTGCATTTTGACCGGTTATTTTGTCTCATGCTTACAGCCTTCTGT